TAGATAAATAAATGAATGGGTGGAAGGGGTCTTTGTTTTTCTTTGAGTGGTGGTAGTAAGTACAGGACATGATAGTGTTAGAACATTCCTATTCCACCAGAAGACAGAAAGTGTAAATATACAAGACAGCATTTCAATGCTAACATTTAGTATTTGACTTTAGGTGAGAAAATACTACCATAAGCATCATTTCTTCATGTGTTAAACAGCAACTATTTGCCCTTTTAAGATTGTTTTGAGGATAAATGAGATAACATAAAGTAGCTATAGCATGTTGTAAGTGTTCAGTAAATGGTCACTATTATTATGATTATTTGTAAAGTAGCTTGGAACTGTTACCAGGTTTTTGAGTGCTGGAGTCTCCTTCTGGAGGTGGTTTCTAGGTTCTTTCCATCTCAAACAAAAAGTTGAATGAAATAAGCAAAATGGTGGCAGTTTCACATTTATTTGAGATAGGAAAAATTAAAGAGGTGGAATTAGGGAGAAATTGGCTCTGCAGAGCAGGCTTGACCTGAGTAAAAATTTAAAAATAGGGAAATAAAAGTACATCCTAGAGAATATAGGGCGGGCTAATATGGGTGCACATTAGTGAGCTCATCATGCATCTTGTCTCCATTTTATTCATTCTACGTATTGAAGTTTCTCACGAGAATTCCACATATGGGCCTTTGGGAACTGTTGTGTACATGTGTTGTGGGATTTTGTAATTAACAGGTCACATCTGCTCCCCAGCCAACATGACTATGCCCTCCCTATCTTCCTATCTCAGAAGTGTCTTTAAGTAGTAATTTTCTACTTGAGTGTCAGTCATAGAGTAGGCACTCCTTTCAGACAGTGTGCAGTTCCTGTCACCAGGAGCTGAGTCTGGAAAGCAGGATGTTTCCCTAATTGGATTGTAAGACCCGGGTGGAAAATGTTTTTAAAGAAATATTTCCTGTAATGTAACATTTTATCCTTTAGAATAAAAGAATTTATTCTTTTTTGTTTTTCCTAAAATAAGTTCCATCCATATCGAAAAAGGAAAATGTCAACAATGTTTGTAATGCTTATGAAAAGAGAATCTCAATTGCACATAGGCTAGAAACTCAGACCGAGGACCATTTTTTTCCCTCATTGAGTTTATTGGTACATTTTTGGTATACAGTGCAGTTACATTCATTATTGGGATCTTGTACCTTTACATGACAGGTCTTGGTTTTAATTTTTCCCCCTTATCCCTGCCCTCCCTTCACCCCCTCCACTCTTCCCTATTTACAAATATTTTATTTCCATTTTCTCATACTTTTTCTTTTCCCTTATTACCTTTCCCCTACCTATTTTTAACAGGTGGTGAGGCAGAGTTCTACGTTTTAGACAGTAGTTTTCTCCTTACGATGGTAGTATCAAAGTTTTCCCATTTTGATAATATTTCTACATTAAGAAAAAAGGTATGGTTTTTAAAAGTGTGCTAAATAAAACTATGTTTATCTTGTTGGCATAAATGATCTTATGTACTTTTGAGTGTGCTGTGTCTCAACCTGGGAAGTCAGGACTAGTGCTTTTCCACCCCCTCTATCCCTCCTCCTGCAAAGTGTGCCCATGTTCTCGTTTGAAGGATCCACTAAAAGGGCTAAGAACATTGGTTAATCATGCAAAGGGAGGTAGCAACCTCAGCAACACAGAGTGTGGGGAATGACCACTCAAAAGGAAAAATGTGGGCATGCACATTCCGTGGAGATTTAAAGATGTACTACAAATTATAACCTGTTGATTAATGATGAGAGGATCAATTCTCAGTTTTTTCCTTTTTTTTTTCCTGGGTCATCACTCAGGTGACCTATTCCAACCCTTTGTTTTTACATAATGACCACTCTCAAATATATATCTCCATACTCAGTCTCTTCTCTACACACACACAAAAACCCCCTAAATATCCAAATGCCTAATGGACATCTTGATTTCCTCCTCAAAGATGTTCCTCTCCTGGACTTCATCACCTCCATGAATGGACAGTCCATTCTCTTGCTTGTTCAGAAAAAAGAGATCTGGGTTACAACTGACTCCTCTCTTCATATCACACCACACACCCTTTCCATTAGTAAATCTGGTTGTCTCCATAAAAACTAGCCTCAGATTATTTCTAAATGCTACCACCATCATGCACTATGTGATTTTTGTAGTAGTCTCCTGACAGATCTCCTAGCTTTACCTTTTTGCTCCTCTGGTTTATTGCCCTCAAACATCCACAGCATTTAAAAACATTGTTTCTGATTAAATCTCTCTAGATTCCAAAGTCTGTACAATGGCCTTTAAGACATTACATGATCTGTCTCCAACTTCATTCCCAACCCCTCACTGCATCTCTGTTACAGCTTCCAGGAATCCACTAGTCCCTTCCTACCTGGGATAGAGGATAAAGGTATCCACATTTCTTGGCCCAAGGAGGGGCCATGTTGGCTGTGGTGGAAGTTGCAAAACTGAAGAGACACAGCCGTGCCACTGATGCTTCCAAGAGAAGGAAAGGGATTCACAGCTGGATTCTCCCCTCCTTTCCACCTTCACTTCCCTTACTATGTCCTCTTGGAGGAACTCAGCAGAGGCGGCTGAAGCTGAGGCTGCTCTCTGTCTGCAGGGGGCAGCACTCACCACCCGTTTCCCACCACAGTCCTGGGAGGGGTGGAAACCAATCTAAGGGCAAGCAAACCCAGCACCAGCATTGCTTGTTCTATTTTTCCATCAAATAATTTATGACCTTTGATATATTTGCAGTTTTTGTTGATTTTTGGTGTCTCTACTACCTTAGCTAGAGTATTAGATCCATGAAGGCAAGGGGCCAGCTGCTTTGTTCGTGGCTCTACTTTTGGCTCCTGACAATGCCCAACAAGTGTATGTATTCAACAATTATCTGTTGAAATATGTCTTAATTCATTGGGCTTACAACATGCATGTAATAAATAGCTACTGAACAATTCCCAAGGTCATTGTTGTGTGAAAAGTAACAAGGTGCCATCTTAGTTGGAATCTATCTCAACAGAATTATTTACATCACAATTAAAACTCCTCTTCATTTGGAGAAGCTTATAATTTATAATACATTTTAATAGGTGATTCCATTGAATACCTAGTGTATTTCTTGAAGGATTTTTAGACTTGGAAAATTTCCATTCATCTTCGTGAATTTGTCCAACTGACATGCTCCTCCTTGATTCATTTTGCTTCTAAGTTTTAAAAAATAGTTCAGGAAATCTGCAACACCAAATACAATTTGTCAGAAAGAAAGATTTTTTAAAAAGTATAATAAAACAACCTTAAAAATAAATTCTTGGACCGTTTCTTACTCATAAAATTGCACACTATCCCCCAGAAAAATAGTTGTTAACATAATTTATTAAATGTCAAGATTAAAGTGAAATCTGGCTTTTGGTTAATTAAGCAATAAACACTGTAAAAAATTCATGTAAAAGTACAAGATCCCAATAATGAATGCAACTATATTGTATACCTAGAATGTACCAAGAAACTCAATAAAAAGAAAAGAAAAAAAAGAAATTATAAATAATGGTTAGACTGAAACATTTCTCTGTTCTGTACACTGTCCACTTGAAGAAATTCATTGTTGACTCTCTTGCTTATATTTTCTTGATCTTTGTAGATATTAAATTCTAAGTAATTTGTATGAGTAACAACTAGATTGTGGTACCCGATGACTTTGGATAATAAATGAATACAGAATCAAATTAGGATTTTATGACTAATTTAAGTATATTAAAGATTTTTAAAGTTACTAATCTCTTTTTAAGATTCTCTATACCTGAAGACAAATAAGAGACTGATTTTCAACCTAAAGATATGTCACGTTTTTCAATAACTTCAAGACCAAAAAAAGAGAAAAAAAAATCATGCTGTTCTTCTTTGGGATAAATGATTCATTTAGGTGAGTGGAGAGTTCACTTATGTAAAACAATAGAGAGGTTATAGCAAATTTTTATCTTTGCCCTCAGGTAAGAAAATTTCAGATACATGATCTGTGAATTCATTTCTGTTCCACCTCAGCTACTCAGATCTCCAAAGTGAGTAACTGCTGTCCACAGAATTCATGCTTGTTTTAAAAGCTGTTTATTTCCAGACCAGATCACAGGCCCTCGAGAAAACCAGAAGAGACAAAGCAAGTGTCCATAATGTTTGCTAGTGAAAATTTCTATACTTACTTTTTGTCTGCAGACACATGCTTAACCTATCACGTGTTAGAATCAAGTTCAACTGAAAATCTCCCATCTTTTCAGTGAGAAAAATTTATGAATAGCTTTGTTAGCTTTTAGCTTTGAGGGTCTAAAGATAACACCTAACCGTAAGAATTTACAGTATGTGGTGGAATAAAGGACAGGAGCTTCTATCCACAGGCTTAAATGATGCCAATATATCTCAAACGCAGGGAGGAGATCCTTATGTTTCTGGTACATGATATCAGTGTGCACCAAACTCAATTTTTTATTCTGCAAGGAGTGGATAAATGCAGAAGTCAATGTCTGGGAGGCTAGGGGGAACATTTCTCTCTTACTCTTGCTAGTAGCTTAATTACTGGGGAATTATCTCTAGTGTAACACACCCTTCATCTATCCAAGATCGCACTCTTCTCTGGGAGATGAAATAGCATATGATATGAGTTCAGAACATGCATAGGGGTGGGGTATGCAGTTTAATGGGTCTCTCAAACTCCAAAAGAACACACAAAATTGAATGCTAAAGATTAGTTTAATAAGTGTGTTTAGTATTTAGTTATAAAACATGTCTTACTTCTCCAAGTCTACAAGTATGCAATAGGCTTAATTAAAATACAGTCAAAGGTTTTGTTTCTAGTTAATGACTTTCTGTTGAAAAAAATCAAGTAGCTCAAAATGGTTGTTGAATCTTTACCTAGTAGGTATTTAGAACTCAGACTTGCAACTTGATGTTGAAGAATGGCTCTTTTGTTTTGAGGCACAGTTCAGGTTAAAATATTTCTTGAGGTATATTTTATTAATTTATTGATAACTATGAATTTTTTTCAGCATATAAAGTATACTAAACATAAACAAGATTAAACTTTTGTGATATAATATTTCCACTCCCCCAGAATGTATCTTTTTTTCCATATCAAATGATGAGCTTAATGGTTCTTTACACTTGAACCAAGTATTGGCTCTCAACACTCGGGAAACTTTCTTGGCCTTAATGTCATATTCAAATTGCCTTGATCCACAGAAGAAATAGACGAACCCTACAGACAAAGAGTCATGATTAGTTATCTTGCATAACTATGAAATGGTGCCATCATTTTTAATTTTATCATTGTAGAATAAAATAACATTATGGAGAACAAAGAAATTGGTAGAATTATACAGATACATTTTACTTTTCTACTGCTATCAGGGAAATCCTATTATTTTTGTTTCCCTTAAGAGGAAGCCAAGATATGAAACATAAGTTTCAAGGGACTTACTACTTTATAGCCAGACTGTGGTCTGTCAGAAGTTCTCACACTAGGCTTTGACAAAGCATCTCAGTGAGAGGGAGAAGAGGATGTCTGTGGGTTTGGCCTTGAACCCTATGTCCTCGTTTCATTAGAGTTGTTACACTTTCATCTATCTAGATTTTCAGGTTCTGTGCTAGATGTCATTAAAATAATATGTTGCATCACTCAAAAACATTTTTAGTCTCCCAATTACTCCATTTTCTAGGGCACTGTTTTTGAAAATAGAGTATTTGGACTAAACACATTAAACGGAGCCTCTATAAAAATTACAGATTCCTGGGTCTCACCCATAATCCTATTGCCTTAGATACAGGAAATTTGTGTTTCACATGTGGACCCCAGACTATATACATTCAACTACAGACATTAAAGGTCAAGAATCATTGTTCAGCTCATATGCTTTGTCATTTTTTTGTACTTTAGGGAGTATCTTGAATCATTAATGAGTAAAACTAATTTTGGCATTTTTTATAGAGATTTTAAATAGTATCATGGCAGTAAATAGTTCAACACTTACTGATTCAGGGTGTGATAATGCCTGCAGGGTTAACGTTTATTATTTCATGTACATATTTAAGAGTAATTAAATTTACACTAAAATCAAAATACTTAAGTTTTCATGCTGGTTTCTTTTGCAGTCAATATAATCTCACAGGTACACTTACAGTTTAGGCAATAATGCTCACCTTTGTGCTGGAAAGCAGCATCAACACGGAGGCCAATTCCTGGAAATTGTTTGACCACTGTCTGTGGGTACCCACTGTCCATAGCTTGGGTCGTCTCATCATACCTGCACATGTGTGTTTGAAAGGTTTCTACTGGATCTTTGTTGGGGGCAGTTTGTTTTTTCCACTGCGCAACTTAGAGTTGAGCAAGGTTGTGGGGGGTAAGCAGGCCTGCTAGAAACAAATCAATGGGATCAATAATACAGAAATATTGGGAACAGTATATTTGATGGAATCATTATATCTTGGAAGCAAAAAATGACCTGGTAAAAAGAATGTATCATTTCTCAGACTGGTGCTATTTTAGAGACTTGTTAAATCAATGGGTTGCAGCTTACACCTTTCCAAGATTTTGACAGGATATATTTGTATCATTTACAGTTTGTTTGGCATAAGAAGTTCTAATGTATTACCTTTATTTTTCAGTTTTAGAAAGAAATTTGGGCTCACTGAAACACTTTTGGTTTGGTAAATGTCAACCAACAGAAATTGCCTTCATCATAACTCACTTGAAGAAGACTATAGATTTGTTCCATTTTTGTCTGTGTCAAGTGATGCTATTGTGGTTATTTTTCTCCATAAAATGAAGGGGTCAGCTTTCTGTGAACTTACCTCCAGCACCAAACACCCACAAAAAAGTAGGTTTTTCTTGTGTCTCGGTCACAAACAGCTGCATCAATTTTCTTCACATGTCTTGGAAAGCCAAGGGTATGGATGGACTTGGGGTAATCTGGCAAGACAGCATACCCTCTAATCATCCAGAAGTTTTCATCTGGGAAGAGAGAAAGTGATTATCTTCTGATCTGTCTCCTAGAGGGAAAAAGTGATATCTTAAGAAGTTTGCGAATAATAGATCCCCAGATCCTCCTAGCTTCCAGTACTTAGAGATTTAATAATCTTATTTCTCTGTGTATTCTTAATGCTTTCTTTAGCTGCTTATATCGTTAATATCATGAAAACAATATATAACTATAGTCAATAGTGTGCCATTCCTATCAATTGCTTTCTTTTGTTTTTTTTTTGGTACGGGGGATTGAACTTGGGTCCTTGCGCTTGCAAGGCAGGCCACCAAACCACTGAGCTAAATCCCCGGTCCCTCAATTGCTTTCTTTATTGATTGTTTTTAACTGGCAAATTGTTAAAACAAGCAAGTATGTTTGGACATGTTCTCTTAAATTTCAACCCTCTAATACACTCAAAGGCTAATAAAATTCATTAAATATGTATCTCAGTTAAATTTGAATTTCAAATGAAAATGACTAATTTTGGTGTACCTAAAATATTGCAAAGTGGCACACACACACACACACACACACACACATAAGCTGTTTTTTTTTCTGAAATTCATAGCATCTTATATTTTTATTTGCCAAATCTAACACTCTTGTAAAAAGAGAACAACAAAAGGAGCCAGGTTACCTTTGTGTCTGGCAGAATAAACAGGACATTTAAAGTCTTTATCATATAAGTTTCTTTTAGTCCCTGTGAAATTGGAATGGTGTTTATCTTTGCAACTACAGAGAACCTCCTGGATAGTTGCTTTTTTTGACAGAGACCTAAGATCAGGGCAAAAGCCTTGTTCATTTGGATCATGTATGAAGATTATATTCCTTACACCAAAATATCCACTGTCCAGGTCAGGCATCCACAATAAAGAGAAAAATCACAATGGGAAAGCTTACCTTTGAAAACCAGAATTGTATCTTTGGGGTTTTCATAGGCAGCTTGGAGATCAGCTGGCAGAGAGGGCCAGAATGAAGTGATCGACTCAAATTCCACATCAGCAATATCATAATAGATCCTCCATAAATGCCTGTGTTTAAAAAAAAAATCAACACTTTATGTATGTAGCCTACATAACTATGTCAATGACAGCCTTGCGATCTTATGCATCTTCCAATTGATTGGTATTTTCCTCACATAATTAGAGAATTGATACTATTTCCCCCAGTACATTTAGGCGGTTGTAAAGTTAGTTCTACCCTTTGATCTCCCAAGGTCAGGACATGCCCTTTGTGTGTACCCGTACGCAGTTGTGGAAAGTGGCTAACTGTCCATAGAAATCATATAAAGAGTTCTGAGTGCTCAACCATCTCATTTTGCAGCAACACTCAACATTCTCAGGTATCCTCAGAACTTCTTGATGCTAAATGTTTGCTGGAATGAGGAAATCTTATTATTGGTATGCTAAAATATTTCCTCAGATATTCCCTTCTGGCTGCAAAATTCCAAATCTATGAATTATACTTGAGAAGTCTCTTTTACAATTTCCTCTCCATAAAGGAGACTCTTGTCTGATATAACAGGTGGCCTCTGGGCCTCTGCTAGTCAAGCATGAGAGTAATAACCTGTTTAGGTAGTCATGGGTGAAAGTAGTCTCATTTCAGATAGGTAATTTTTGGCCTTTGTATTCTTGTCAACTGGATTATGTCCTGATACTTTGCTCAAAAAATATGGTTCTAGTGTACATAACTGACACACAGTGCATCAATTAATTCCAATACATTATGTATGGTGAGAGATTTCCTACCACAGAACTGCACTTCATGGATCTGACATTAAGAAATGTACATACATCAACCATGGTCAATTTCATCTACCAATATAATGCAAAGTAATTTACAAAATTCCTGAAAATGTATCCATAGGCTCCCGAAATCAAATATGAATTGGTTCCACTATAGCCCTGGGACTGGTGTATTATTTTGGTTAAGTAGTCACCTCAGGGAGACTCTACCTTCTTATAGCATAGAATTTAGAAAATGCTTTAGATTATTTAAAATTACCTTAGCAAACAAGTATAAAATATATGTATATGGTAAGACATTCAGATAGAATGTGCAATTGTGAAACAGTTTCATAGTCTTCATGACTCTCTCGTTATTCTCAAATCCCTTAAAAAGAAAAGTCTTCTTGGAAGTTGAAGTGTTTAAGGGAATGGGTTTACCTGCCTTTCAAGAACATTACTTCTCTGCGGAGAGTGGTTATAGCATCAAAAGTCAAGTTAGGGTCACAGGCATGGGGTATATTGGTTCCTTTCGTTTTGACAGGTGCTGTAGGTAGACCTCCTTTGAAGAGAAAAGAAATACCACAGTGGATTAAGAAGACATGAGGAAATTTGCCCACAGAAGGATCTTACTTAAGTAAATTTTTGCTTCATAGTATTTCGAGAGTAGCTTGCTCAGCTTCCTTTCTGAAAAGCTTCCTATTTAGTGCACATACATTCAGATTTATGTTGCTCACCATAGATGGATTGGATTCCGTTGATATCATCCTGAGAGAGCGGGTACTTGCTAGGATCCAGGGTGACATAATTTGGGAACATCAATGCTCTTTCATCGTTGGAATGAGAGAGCCCCAGTGAATGACCAAATTCATGAGCAGCCACGAGAAACAAGTTAAATCCTTAATAAAAAGAGAGAAAACATGAGAACATGAGTCGATCAAAAGGGGAATGGATGAATCTGAGATCAGGAAGTAGCTAAGGAGAATAAAGACTTCCTGTCTAACAACTGATTCTGATGTGCCCCATTATTTATCTGGGACATGTTTCAGTTGATATTGATATTGATACTCGTCATGTCATGGACAGGTTTAACCCGGAGTAGGCAATTAGTTTGAAACTGGTTACTCAGAAAGGGATAGTATTATTTAAAAAATGAAGTCATTGGATTTTAGCTCTGCTTTACTCTCTTATATGTGATTGTGTTGCTCCTACTTACATTCTTCAGAGATTCTCCATAGGTCATAGGATAAAGTCCAAATACCTTCACACGGCCCTCCATCATCTAGTCCCTGTCACTTTTCCACCCTCATATTTTATTTTCATAGTCCATGAGCTAGCCATATAGAATCATCTATATTTCTCATCTGCACCATTCATGCTCTTGTTAACATCTGTCTTTATACTTTCCTTCTTCCACTCCCTGCTATCCTGAGGGAATATAATTAAATGGTCAAAAGACAAACCTTATGGAATCGCCATCCAGTAATCTACCCAGAACTTAGTTGAAGATAGTATTATCTCCTTGCCAATGTGGAGCCCTGACCTCTTTGGGCTTTTTAATAATTCACTGCAAACATCGCACTTAACAAAGAGCAGATGGGGAGTGGAGGAGGGGGTAAAGGGAGGGCAGAGACAGGGGAAAAAATGAGAACCAAGACCTGTCATGTAAAGGTACAAGATCCCAATGATGAATGTAACTGTACCGGATACCTAAAATGTACCAATAAACTCAATGAGGGAAAAAAATTCTCTTTTCTTAAAAAAACCAAAAAAACAAAAAACAAAGAGCAGAGCCAATGGGTAAGAGTTATTACTACTAAGTGTTATATTTTAAAGGATTAAAAAGATAATGAAATCTCTGGCTGATTTCTGCCTCTAGATATGTTAGTAAAGGCTGCATAAGCAAGGGGATTAATCCTGGTTTTGGCAAGTGCGAGGGTATTTGGTTGTTTGGATGAAAATATTCCTCCATTGTCCTTCTGTCTGTTGTGGTGCTAACTGATGTAGCAATGGCAGCAACCAATTTCAGTTTTCCCCTGTTTCCTGGAACTTCATCAGTACTGACCTCCTCGCATTTCTTACTGGCACATGGAAGAACAGTCGATTCACATGGTGGAACTGACCACAAATAATTTTGCAGAAAATGTAGAACTGGCCCAGACTACATGTTGTCAAGATTAACTGAAGTGTATGCCTGTGTGCTCCCTGGTAATCTGGAAGCTGGACACCAGATCCAAGATGATGAAGTCAATGACAGGACAAAAAGCGTGGAGAGACATGGAGAAACTCTGGAGCCTGCTCTTTGGTTTAATGCATTCTGTTTTTGTTTGAAAAGTAATAAAACATCTCTAGTGTCAGTCTGGTCCATTAAGAAAAATCAACTTACTCGATTTAACAGAATAGGTCAAATATAAGATTTAGTACATAATTCCTTCACACATAGGCAAGTGTTAGAAGAGAATATTTCCACTTTAAAATAGCTCCTCTGTGGCCCATGAATGCACAATCCACGCACTGTTCTTTAAGCTTCTTTCAGAAGCTCCACATTATTACTTCCCTAGAGCTGCCACTTAATCCTGAAACAACAGATGACTTCTACCACTGGTACAACACATAATGCGTTCTGCCTCATGTGGTATGGTAGGCACATGGGTCCAGGCCTTATATACCCACATAGGATCATGAACTTCTGAAGGGAGGAAACTTTAAGTTCATCTTTGTGGTCCTTGCATAGTTTTTGGCACATAGTGGACCCTCAGGCATTGCAGACATATAAATGGGTGTATCATGATCAGACCAGGAGTAGCAAATTTATGAAAGCATTTTGTGATTTAGGCTTTGAGCTGCACAAGCACTGAACAGGTATTGAGCACTGCTGCAAATGTCATCATGGAATGTGGAAAATTGTGGAGAAATTGGAAAGTTTAGTGGTAAAAGGCAACTAGATGTATAGCTATTCTTCTTCAGAGATTTTTTTTTTAGCATGACACAGTTTGTCTATCAAGAAAATTTGACGAAGCTTGGTGGTGCACGCCTATAATCCCAGCACTTTGGAGGCTGAGGGAGGAGGATCACCATGAATTCAAGGCCCACCTGAGCTAAAAAGTAAATTCAAGGCCAGCCTGAATTACATGGTGAGACCCTGTCTCAATAAAAGAGAGAGAGAGAGAAGAGAGAGAGAGAGAGAGAGAGTGTGTTAGACTCACCTGTTGCATTCTTGGTTGTCCAATTCTCATCCTCATCAAAGTGAGTGTCACCACCCAGACCCCTGCCAGGAGGAAAGGCATGTCCAAGGACTCCCAAGGGACCATCAAAATGGCGAGGACACCAACCGTGGACTGAGATACAATTCATGGGGGAGAAAGATCAGTTTTCTCAAATTTTCTGAGGTGAAAATAGGCAGGGCTTTCTGTGAAAAACCTTACCTCTAGTCCTAAAGGCAATCATGATGTCTGCAACCCCCTTGTAGATCTTGGTGAACGTTAGTGGTGTGACCTTACTCCACATTTCTAAAGCTTTTTGGATGGCCTGATCCACATCAGCTTGGGGCATATCTGGAGTATAGTTCATTATTCTTAAAAAATAACAAAAATATAATAATTGCTGGTTATACAAGTATTTAGGTACACACACACTACAAACATCAGTTCTGATTTATGACTCATGGGTGCAGTTACTATAGGCAGCTTTTGGTATCAGGTTGTTATTTCATATTTTCATACTACTTTTTAAAAATGAGATATTTTTACATTTGCTATGTAAGTTGATTATCTCTTCTTCCCTATGGATCAAGTAGTATATCATTTTAACAAATGGCGCTCAGAGAATAAATGGCTCTCCTAAAGTCATACGAGAAGTGGGACAGAATTAAGTCCATGTGTGTGTTTTTGTGTATAGCGATTATATCATAAATATATGTTTTAAAGAATTAAAATTTATTTTCTTGAATGGCTTTGAAATTCCATTTTATTCATGTATCATATATTAAGAGTTTTCCCTCAAGATCCAGAAAGAATTACTCCAAGAAATATTTTTCTCTTCTTTATATTTCCTGTCTTGCTAAGCACATTTTTTCCAAGTCTGAAGATTCAGTAAATTGAAGGAAAACTGTTCCAGAGTGATGGTTAAAGTCACTGCCTTTTTCTTAGATTGGAGCCATACATCAACTTCTATGTGGCAGCGAGAAATTTCTGGCCCTTTTTCCACAAGACACCTGAAAGCAAACCCCATAGTTGACACTGGGACCCCCTCAAGACCAGACCCTGTAACACACACATCTATGCCTTCCCCTCTTCTCCGCAGAGCTGCACCCCTGCCTCTGAACCTGCAGTCAGAGACAGGACTTCTGGTCCTGAGCTCACATGGAGGTAGTAAGGCTGGCGATTACAGTGCGGCTGTGGGATCCGGGCTCCTGGGCCACCTTGGCCATGGTAAATAACAGCCAGTGTCATTTTCTTTGGGTTTCAGGTGCAGCACTGTCGTGCCTGCATCATAGGTGTGTTGGGAGGGTGGAAGTCATGACATTTATGAAGTGACACGCACATGGGAAGAGTCAGTAAAATAAATGATTACTGTTTCTTGGAGATTATAATCACCTTGCTTTGCACTAGGTGACGGAGGTATTACCTGTATGTGAGCTTGCGTTTTCTCCACCCAGGGAGAGTGTAGCCATACTGCCCCACATCGGGCACCCCGCACCTGGGTGTCTTCATGATCTCAAGAGTGTTAGAGTCTAGTTTTCCAGTCACTGTCAATCCAAAAAATGCTTGCATCTCCCGGATTTTGCCATCTATGAGATTCCTGTTCTTGCTTTGAACGAGATGACTCCCTTCTATTTCAGTAGAGTAGAACTGGTTGAGATATGCCTGATCAGAAAGACAAAAAAAAAAAAAAAAAAAAAAAAAAAAAAAAAAAGAAAGGCACAGACTGCAGGAGATCAAAGGTGAAATAAAATGGCCTGAAGTTCTTTCTGACCATGGGGAGGGAGAAAAAGGAAATAAGTAATGAGGGAAAGAAGAAAGGAAAGACACAAAGAAGAAAGAAAGGAGACACCCTGTTCTTTCAGTTCCAGGAACTGGTTGATTTATGAGTAATTACAGTTAACAAAACCACATGCTGTGTAATGAAACTTCTTCTACCTGTTAAATGACGGCACATCTTACATAATTTTGCTGTTACTGTCTTTTGGTATTTCCTTCAAAGAAATTCTAGTATCTATAGGTGATTATACATTTTGCAAATTTACTGGATAACTGAATATGGCAAATTAACTGGACTGACTTTTAGGAGGACCTTCCCAAACAGTGTATGAATAAGGGACTTCAGATGGTAGAACTGTTCCTTCTGGCAATTTAGAAGTGTCCATGCAATTCTTTACCCCTTGCAGGGCTGCTCACCTCATCTCACTGATTCTTGACTTGGGACCTTCATTCAGAGTTGTAGCAACTGCTACCATACCCTATCTATCTATACCCTATCTACCTTCCCCTTTCACCCAGGCCCTTGGAGTCTTTATAGCTAGACAAATGAAAAACACTTCTTTCTAACAAGGAAGTTCAGGAATTTGCTTTTTAGGTCCCAAGAGAAGGAAAAACAAAAAACAAAAAACAAAAGAACTTATGGCTAACTGTTAATAGCATGTATTGAGACAATACCTGAGCCAGTTGCATGTTTTCCTCATTTTCCACCTTTCGGTCTGCAGGAAATGCAGAAGAAAATGTTATAAAAAGCAGAAATAGAGGCAGGAGTTGCTTCATTCCTCTTTCTCTTCAGTTAAAGCCTGTTGAGTTTGCACAGATTTAGAAAGTAATAGTGAGACGTGGCATGAATTGACATGGATCATCATTTAATTAATAACAGAGAAGGACACTTGCCACGAAGTGTGTCATGACTTTTTTTTTCTTAAATAACTTGATTTCACAATCATGGGCCATGGTTGATTAGTAATATGTTGTTTGCTATTGAATCAAATGTACTATGAAGTGAGCCCCCAAGTTACTTTTCTCCTTGCAAAGTTGGTAGTTTTTCTATCCACAAATTCTAGAAAGTTTGTGAAAAAATTTTCTTCTAAAGGAGACCATAAGATATCTGTGGTGTGGTATCTCGCCAAGACCAGTGAATCAGAAATCAGATTATGCTAGTTAAAGTGAACTTTAAATGTTTATCAAGCACCCACTATAGTATTTGTCTGGCGCTGTAAATGCAATCATGTTGGAGGATTCAGACTTACCCAGACTGTAGCAGAGGGTAAAATGTCGGAAAGTGGTCAAATGCACAGTGCAGACTATGAACACTAAGAAGAACCAAAAGACAGACAGGTAAGTGCTGATGGATGGGACCCAGAGGCTTCACTATGGCACTAGGTGTTGAAGGATAGGTAGGAACTGAGCCTCTCTGAGGAAGGGAGCGCGTGAGGGGAGAAGGCTGTGGGAAGCAGATGACAGCAGAGACGAGCTGTGGAACATCTGCTCTGATGAGAGCAGATACGTAGAAAGCCACAGGGGAAGGGATGAAAGGTGTCACGGAGTAGACAGCTGATTAAGGAGGTGAAGACCTCACAGAGGTATAGATTATGGACATTGAAGGCCAAAAGTAACACTAGAAGTGAAGACAGTTACCGAGAGCCTCTTGGGTTAATTTCATTGTATTTTCGTCTTTACCTGGAACACTTTCAAATGAAGCAGCACTACTAGCTAATTCCACATCCTCTATCATTCTTCTGCTTTTCTCTACTAATTGTTATTTTTTTTCTTTTATTCCAAAATGTTGATTCTCTAATACGTAGCCCTTTCCAAATCTTATTCCTTGCCTGTATCCTGAATAAAATTTTGAGATGCAGTTGAAGAACTTACTATAAATATTAAGCAGATATAAAATTCATTCTCCTTTAAAATACACCTGGATTATAGCTACTGTTTCAGAAATACTATTTACATAGTTGATACATAAAGGTCTAAGAGACCTCTGGGGAGAGTAGGATGGAGGTGGGTAGGTAGACAGGATGAAGATTTGAGTTATAATGGTAGTGGGACAAGGTGTGATCATATGCATGCCCATTATATGATTCTTTTGTGCTTTTTAAATTCTAAAATATTTCAGAACAAAATTCAAAAATTACAGTTGCAGAAAAGGAGAAGCCACTATATCTTGTTTATAATGAAAACAGCATCTCTGTCTGTCTTTCACTGCTTCAAGTCCCACTCCCCAGAGACGTTTAATTATTTTTATAGTTTTGCCCTTGTACATAATTCTGTACTTCTAAATAGCACATTTGTACTACAGATTCTTTTTTTTTTTTTGAGACAGTGTCTCACTGTGTAGTTGAGACTGACCTGGAACTCACTATGTAGCCCAGGCTGGTCTCGAACTCAGTGATCCTCCTGCCTCAGCCACCTGCCTATGCTATAGATTCTTGAGGTTTCAATATTTTAACACTTATGCCATTAACATTTTCCTGTGAAAGAGGAGGATTTGACCTTCACTTACTTCTTCCTCTATTTTCCTAAGTAGGTTCTATAGTAATACCCCAGTCCTTGACATTAATTAGTTCTGGGAGAACAACAATGATCAAAATTGGAGATTGTAGCAAGTCATGAAAAGATCTAGCTTGCATGTTGAGTGGCAAAAGAATACCAGAAGAATATTTTCATGTAAAAATGTGTTGAATTTCAAATGTGAAAGTTTCAAAGCAGCCCGGTACCAAAGAGTGACTGCAGCAAAATTTTCATTAATCAGTAATCACTATTTTTTGCAATCACAACTGTGAAAACGGCATTCAAAGGTATTACATCTTTTTTTTTTGTACATCTACTATTTTCTCCGAAGTCGATAGCTGAATTAAGTTTTTTTTGAACTTGTGAATTCCTTCAAATGCTCTGATAGAACCCCAAACCAGCCTCACAATGATCCAACATGAACAGGCCATTCAGCTCTCCCCTTCACCCCGAGTAATGACTTCGTGAGTGATCGTCTTCTCCAACCTGGGCTTATTTCAAAGCGGTCACTCTGTGTTCACACAGAGAATTCTTACTGTGACTCTTAGTTCCCTGGTTCCTGGATTTAACTTTTATCCATTTCTTGCCTTGTTCCTTTGTTTTGATGGACCATGTATCTCAGGAATTTCCTAAGAAAGAATTCAAGGAAAATGAATATTTTGAAACTTTTCATTCTAAGAATACACTTCATTTTGTCCCCCTCAAAAATGTGTGCCTTTATAGAATCTCAGGCTGAAATAAATTTCCCTGAAATTTGAGGGCACTATCTTATGAATGTCCAGAAACTGATGTTGCTACTGAGAAGTCTTCTATTATGAGTCTCGATAATCTGAAAAAAAATTGGAAATTTTATCTTTATCCAAATATCCTGAAATTTCATGCTTATTGCCACTTGACGTGCGTTTTCTTTCATTAACATTTCTGTTAATATTTTCTACATAACATTTCTGGTAATTGAGACAAACTGATTAGATAATAAATTCCCTATATTATTTCTTTGATAATTTCTTCCTATCATTTTTTGAATCTCTTTCTGGAATTATACCAATTTATCCTCCTGGACTTAATTATATTTAAAAAAATATATATATATATTCATTAGAACTTTACCATTACAGATCTATAGTCTTACATTTTAATGTATACAAAAAATTTCTGTAGACAGTAATTAGAAATGGTTGCAAGCAGAATATAAATAAAAGTGCAGCTCTCTCTCCAGAGTTCAGTGACAATATTGCAGGTTTAGTGAACTGCACAGATACTGGACATCCACTTTGTTTCCATTTCTTCCTTTTCTTATATTAATTCCATTCCCTGCTTTCCTTTTCCCAAACCCACCAATTCCTCTCCCCCTTTGCCCCTTTTCTTCCTATTTCAAATAATCTATTATACCTTTTAGTTTTTATTTACAGTTTTAGTTTCTTACACTAGAGAATCTAGTTAGTATTTACACACATGTCCTATTTATTTCACTTAAGGGTATCGCCTCAATGTGCATCCATTTAGCTATAAATTTCTCATTTTTTTATGGCTCAGTAGCACTCCATTTTATAAAAAGAACCATATTTTCCTTATCCAGTCTCCAGCTCATGGGCAATTGGGCTACTTTCAAGTTTTAGCTGTTACAAATTCTGTTGCTATGAACATGGGTGCACATGTATCACTGTGGTAGGATTCTTTTAATTCTTTGGGAGAAGATACCCAGTAGGGGAATAGCTGGGTCAAATGGGACCTCCAATCCTAGTTCCGTGAGGTATCTCCATACTGATTTCCACAGGGATTACACCAGTCTACACTCCTACCAGCAGTGGAGCAGTGTTCCTCTTTCCCCACAGTCCCACCAGCATTTGTTATTGGTTGATTTCTTGATAGTGAGGTGGGATCTCAGTGTAGCTTTCATTTGCATCTCTTGAATGACTAGTGATGCTGAACATTTTTTCATGTTTATTTGCTATTTCTACTTCTTTGAGGAATATCTGTTCATTTCACATACCCATTTTTGGACTGGATCTTTCAATTTGGGAGGTCTGATTTTTAAAGTTCTTTATATATTCTAGATAATAGACCTTTGTCTGAGGAACATCTGGTAAAATTTTTTCCACATTGTGGGTTGTCTCCACTCTGTTGGTTTCTCTTGCAGTGAGGAAGCTTTTTAATAAGAGATCCTACTGTTGATTGTGTTGTTTACTGGCAACTGATGTTTTGTTCATAAAATATTTTTCTACACCAATATCTTCAAGAGTTCTGCCTAACCTCTTTACCAACTGGTTTAGTGTTTCTGTTTTAATACTTAGATCTTTAATCCATTTCAATTTTAGTTTAGTGCATGGTGAGAGATATAGGTCTAGTTTTAATCTTTGGCAAGTTGAAATCCAGTTTTTCCAGCACCATTTATTAAAGAGACTCTTTCATCCAGTGAGGTGTTTGGCTCCTTTGTCAAAGATGAGGTGGCTGAGTGTGCCTGGAATTGTTTTTGCATCTTCTAATCTGTTCCACTGTTTCTCAGGTTTGTTTCCTTGCCAGTACCATGCACTTTTTACCAAAGTGGCTTTGTAGCATAGTTTCAAGTTGGGGATTGTGAGAATAGCTTTTGCTATTCGAGGTCTCTTCTTTTCCAGATGAATTTTTGGATTGTTTTCTCAAGTTCTGCATGAAATATGCTGCTGGAATTTCAACTGGGATTGCACTGAATTTATATAGCAGTTTTGTCAGTATAGCCATTTTCACTATATTGATTCTTCCTACCCAGGAGCAAGGGATATCTTTCCATTTTCTGATATCCTCTTCAATCTCTTTTTTCAGAGTGCTATAGCTTTCAGAGTAGAGGTCTTTGATTTCTTTTGTTAGGTTGATTCCTAGTATTTCAATTTTTTGGATGCTATTGTGAAAGGAATTGTTTGCCCCATTTCTCTCTCAGTGAGTCTTTTGTTCATGTACAGGAAAGCTATTGCTTTTTGTGTGTTGACCTTGTATCCAGCTACTCTACTGAATTTCATTATTAAGTTTAGAAGACTTTTGGTGGGGTTCTTGGTGACTTCAAAATAAAGTATCATGTCATGTGCAAATAATAACCTTTTGACTTCTTTATTTCCTATCTTTATTCCATTTATTTCTTTTTCTTGTCTAGTAGCTGTGGCTAATGTTTCTGAAACTGTATTGAACAGGAGTGCTGATAGTGGACATCCTTGTGTTGTTCCTGATTTTAGTGTGAAAGATTTCAGTTTTTGACCATTTAGTATAATATCATCTGTTGGTTTTTCATA